CAAACAACTCCTGCTGCGGAGGACGCGGACAGCCCTGCCGCTGAAGACGAGGAAAGCGAGGCAGCGTTGTACTTCTACGAATACGACCTCGACGACCTGCCTGTGACTCACCAACGGGATGCTTTGCTAAGTCTGATCCAGACCATCCCGCCTATTCGATTGTTGCGAGAACACCTTCTGAGCCATAAGAACATCTCTCTCAAGAAGTACGACAAGATGACCAAGTCTGCTTTGGCTTTGCTTCGATGGATCGTGGCGTCCAACCGCTCCTTCATCGTCCAGCTGGACCAGAGCGACGAGTCTGCCACCAACGACATGGCGTATGCATCGAATAGAGAGCATGAGAAAATTTCTGGCCTTGACAGCAATTGGTTGCAGTTCCGTTTCGCACAAGGATCTCCTGAGAAGGAACAACGATTCAACCAAGCATTGGAACAGCAGAGCACCGCCCGGTATCCCACTATGTTCGCATGGCACGGAAGCCCGCTTGGAAACTGGCACAGCATCATCAGAGCCGGCCTCGACTTCAAGGACACACTGCATGGCCGTGCGTATGGCCACGGCGTGTACTTCAGCAATGCTCTTAATGTAAGCATAGGCTATGCGGGATCATCACACATGGCAGGTCTCTGGGTAGGATCAGAGCTTGAAATGTCTGGGGCGCTTAGCCTCTGCGAAATCATCAATCGGCCAGCCGAGTTTAAGTCAAGCCAGCCATATTACGTGGTTGACAAGGTCGACTGGATCCAGTGCCGATATCTGGTTATCCAGAGAAAGAGTTCCTTCAGGTACGCGGAGCCTGAAGCTGATGGAGCACCATCGGCGACCAAGACAGAGACGGAGTACATCACCCAAGATCCGCAGCATACTGTCGCCGGAATCAGCGCAAAGGTTCGCATTCCCATCGCAGCACTCCCAAAGTGGCGTCAAAAAGCGAGACCTGAAGGATCGTCTCCTTCAAACCCGCTCGTCGTGGACGACGATGATCATGACAACACCCCTGACACAACCGATGATTTCGACCTATTGTTAAGCATGAAAGGTAACACCGATGGTACTCAGCACACCGAGGACGACGATGAGGATATCATGATTCTCGAGTCCGATCCCAGCAAGCTCAGCTTCATACCAGGCACCCTGGATGTGGCTTCGCTCCCCATACTCCCACCTCCTACTTGGGCCACCGACAATGGACTCAAGCTTCTCGGCAAGGAGCTCAGCAAGTTACAAAAGCTACAAGTGAAAACTCCATTGCACGAACTTGGCTGGTATATCGACTTTGAAAGCATGAGCAATATGTTTCAGTGGATTGTCGAGCTTCACAGCTTTGAACTTTCTCTTCCGCTTGCCCAGGACATGCAGAAACACCAAGTTTCTAGCATCGTTCTCGAGGTTCGCTTCGGCCGACAATTCCCTCTTTCGCCGCCATTCGTCCGCGTCATCCGCCCCAAGTTTCTACCATTCTCCCAGAGGGGTGGTGGACATGTCACGGCTGGCGGCGCCTTGTGTATGGAGCTTCTGACCAACAGCGGCTGGAGTCCAGTTAGCAGTATCGAGAGTGTCTTGTTGCAAGTCCGCATGGCAATGTGCAGCCTCGATCCTTTCCCCGCCCGCCTCCTAGGCTCCAGTGGAGACTATGGCATTTGGGAGGCCATTGACGCATACAAGCGTTCCGCGAGCGCCCACGGCTGGCAAGTGCCCCCTGATTTGGACGTCACAGCCAATGGGGTTTGAGAGAGACGAAGGAAGACAAAGGAAGACGAAGGGAGCCGAAGGGAGCCGGAGGGAGACGAAGGGAGGAGACGGCGGGGATGAAGACAATGGAGCCGGTGACAATGGAGACGGAGACGAGGAAAGTGGAGGCGCCAAAAGGTATGGCAGCTTTGATCTTTGTCTGGGTCCGGATTTTGACCGCGGCGTTTAGGCGGGGTAATTTTGGTATCATGAACCACATCTGGGGAACGGAGTAAGGTATAAGGGAACCATCAACCCTTCAAGTCATGGGCAGCATAGCATAGAACAGTCACCCCAACATGAAAATGTCAGTAAAATCGGGCCTCTGGGAGATCTCTAGCGTTGCGCTTGACATGGTACAGTGGTATACAAATGGTATCCAGGTGGATTAATATACATTTCCGCCGTAGTACACCTTTCTTGCGTCAACCAGCTTCTTTCCGCGACCGATGGCGATTTGCTCGGGGTCGGGCTGGTTAAGGAGGCACTCGTAGACGACCTTGACAGTGTTGTAGGGGTTCTTGGATCGCATGATCTTGGCGGCCAAGTCATGGATACCAGCAAGGCGAGCCATCTCGAAGATACGGTGAGAAACACGAAGTCCGAAGCCTTGGTGTTGCTTGTCAGTGCCGTGTTGCCTGAGAACATCTGTTTTAGACAACGGGAGAACATACCTGGAGGACGAGACTGAATCTTCACGACAGTACCCGAGATCTTCTTTTGGACCTCGCCGTAGATGGTGCGGTCCTCGTACCTACGAATCGGCTTCATGTTGCGAATAGCCAGCATCTTGGCAGTGGTTCTTGCTACGTCGAGATCTGTCGACTTGGCCTCGCCCAGTCCGAGCCTGCCATTGCCGTTTCCGGCGGCGACGATGATGGAGATGCTGCGAATCTTACCCAGACGGGTCTGGTTGTGGACCCATCGCATGACGAGGGGCTTGGTGATGATGGTTTGGATGTCGGCAATTTTCATGCCGGTGGCGGCCTTGATCTTGGTAAATTCACCCGTACCGTCGAGCTCGTCGTCCTCGGCGTCCTCGGGCGTGTACAGGCCCTTCACGCCCGGGATCTTGCCGAGAGGGGGCTGGACCGCCGAGTTGCCATCGGGGCCGTCGGCGGCCTTCCACGAATCAAGTTTCGACCCTTGCAAAATGTCGATATTGTCGTCGTCCGTGTTGAGCTGCTGCTCGAACGCCTTCATGAACTCCTCGTCGATCTTCTCGAGCCACTCGCGGCCCAGGGACTGGTCCGCCGGCCTCGACTCCTTCTTGCCGAGGACGTCCACGTCCTCTTCGACGAGGAACTTCTTGCGCAGCTCCGGGTTCTCCTCGAGCTCCTTCAGCTCCTCCTCCGTGAAGTCGAGGACCATGGGGTTCTGCTTCTTGATGTTGCGCAGGGCGCGGGCGTAGGCCTTGCCCATGGAGTCCTTGAGCTCAACCTCGACGCGGTTGGCCAGCTTCTCGACGTGGTTGTCCACCCATTCCCTCCGCGGCAGCCACTCCACCTCCCGCGGCTGCACGGGCTTCTGGGGTTTTAGGTCGATGACGGGCTGGATCTTGGAGAAATCTTCAATGTAGTTTTGGCGGTAGGGATCGGTGCGTAAACGGCCCTGCAGCATGAGGTCTTTCGGGTCGATGGCCTCCTCCGCGGCCTCGAGGGCCTCCATCTGCTCCGGGGTGTATCGCTTCCTGAGCATCTCCTTCTCCTCCGGGGTGTATGCCGGGAGGTATTGCTTTACTAACTTGTCGAGTTTCTCGGGGTCACTCGTGACGCCCATTTTCTCGGCGGTGATGTTCCTGAACCTCGACCTCCTGCGAGACGATTTGCTGGAGGAGCTGTGGAAGAGGCGAGCGGGCAAGACCGCGGGGGCGGCGGTCGTCGAGGTACTTGTGCATCTCGACAGGACGCTCCGGGCCGGGCGTACGGCGTTCATGGCGGCGATCGGGTCTCTTGCGCCAATTCAGAGCCGGCTGCACGAGGGGTTTGTCGATTGTCGTCGCCGCGGGGCTCGGGGTGGTGGGTGCGATCGCGTGCGTTGGCCTTCCGTGGTCGACCTCGTTGCTGCGCGCCAGGCTGGTCGATAATTTTTTTGGAAGCTCAATTGGACGTACAATCGCCTGAGGTTGATTTACGACATGTCATTGGCTGGAGGGGCATCCGCTGCAATTGAGGCCTGGCCCGTGCGTGCACAAAGTGTTGGCCGTGGCTTGAACTGATCTCGGGAGTCACATGATCTCGGTGGATGAGGGACTCGGCCGGCGCCACACCGAAACGTCCGGGGTGAAGAGCTGAGGCTTAGGTGCTGGCCAACTGAGGACGTTTCTTGGCTTCCTTGGCTCATTTCCAGGGACAGACTTACCTAAGGTTGGCGCCTGGATCTGCTCACCTTAGCCTCACGATCAGCCATGTGATGTTCGCTCCCACAAGGCAACGCTGGCATAGACGGTGATCGCGGTTCCTGGCGGCAGCAACTATTTGCAAATCAGACCAAACCTCTTCAGACCGGAAGCGCATGGGGGCATCGTGGAAGTCGAAGAAGCCTCACCAGCACAAGCCCAATTCCCACTGCACCGATGGACCCCTTCCCAAGGGCCATGCCGACTAACCGCTGCAGTCCGTCCCTGCGCAGCCAATCAGCGGAGGCAGACATCAGTCGACATTCTGCCGCAGGCCTGAAACGCGCATCGGAGCCCGGCCCCTCTCCTTTGTGGCAGGGCTGGCTGGGCTGGTAGGCAAAGCTCAACCACCAAAACGCTGTCGCGTCCAAGTCTCACCCACCCAAGGGCGGTCTAGCCTGCGAAGGGGCACTGTGACCACCATAGGGCCATTTTCCCTTCCCTCCTCCAGGCCAGCCGTGCAAGCTTGTACCTGAATGTGACGTCTCCCGTTTCGAGAACGGATCATCTTTCCATACAATCCCACGAACCCTCCCGCGCTTCCCTATTTTCCCCCTTCCTGCATCCCGTGTACCTACTTTCCCTTCTCTTGTTCTTCGCAAAACCTTCTCTCTCTCTCTGGCACTAATCACGCACCTCGCAATACCCGTACATTGTGTGGTGTTTATTCCCTTGTGACTGGCGCACTTGAGACTCAGACCTTCATTTTGACTTTTCTTTCGATTACACACCTTTTAATTCACCACCACCACGCCACGGTCTACACCGATTGCAAACGACTCTCACGAAGAGCGACGATAATCACGAGTCATCACCAAGACCGATCCGCAATCCGTACCATCCCGTCGCCACTACCACAGCCGCAAAGATGGGTCAATTCGACTGGTTCCGATCCATTGGCGCCACGCCTGAGGCCGTGGCCGTCCTGAACGACCAGCCCATTCTGTTCACGATCCTTTTGATCGTCCTCGTCGCCGTCATTCTGCAGATTGTCCTACTCTGGTACATCCACTTCGCGACGTTGAAGCCGGAACAGAAGAAGAAGAAGGAGCCCAAGAAGGGAGCTGCCAAGGGTGGCAAGAAATAGGTGGAAAATTGGATTCAGCAGGGAGGAGTCACGACTCTGTTGGCAGGATCGTTCCGACAAATATCCGTTTGCGTTTGGATTACGGCCGCGATCTCGGATTCGACCACCGACTGCGTCTGGCGAAGCTGGGCGATCTGATGCGAAGGATCGTTGGCATGCGGAGGGAGAAAAGGCGATGTCATGGCGTGGGAATAATGAGCAGGTTGGTGGGGGTTTCGACAGATGGGACCGGCCTTGTTCGGGTCAGTGGAGGACGAACTTACGATGCTCGAATGTCACAGGTTGCACTCGGCATCATTTTCTTGCGGCATAACTTTTTCGGTATAGATTTTCATCCACCAGAGGCTCATCTTGGATATCAACCGAGTTTCTGTAGTTCAACAGCGCTTGAAGCTTTCAAATCATGGCTACCCGTTTTCGAGAAAATGCGGCTCCTCTTCCGCTAGCATGACATCCTCCGGCCATATATGTTGCTGGTATAACACCGACTCTGAACAGCCTTCATCAGATTCAAACCCGGCGTCATGTCGCCAAGAACCGTCGGCAGATGGGTCGCGTAGAAAGCCGTTTTCAGGATCTTCGCACCTTGACTCCGGCCTGTATAGTTCCATGCCGCGCCCTTCGCCCTCCACGCCTCTATTCTCATATCCATGCGATGCGTCTTCCCATGGCGGTATTAGTTCCGTGTATCGTTGGTTGTTATAATGGGAGTCGTCCTCTTCGGCAGCGTCCAAATCAAATCCTTCGTAGTCGTCACGAACTCTGTCATCGTTACCCATCAACCAGTATTCTTCCTTGCCAGCACCATCTGATTCCAGCTCTTCGCCAGTCTCCGTGTCAGAGAGAGCAGGCGAAGCCTCTCCATAAATGCTGTGTTCAATAGCTTCGTCATCCATATTCCCAAAATCGCTGACCGTGTCTTCATCAAGCCCGTCCGCAGACCACAGATCTGGCCATTCATCAGCTGCTGTATCGTAAAAGCGAGCTGGTCTTCCAAGGTCGTCGGCCCAATCTTCACGATCGCCGTCTGGAAAATCAACTTCCATTTCCCAGCTCGGTGATGCGACTTCACTTCGAGGTTGGCTTGGGTTCTCGTCCTCGCCGAAGTCAGATAGCTGATATCCGCAGTCAGAATCAAATCTCCCCGTTTCAGGCCCTTCCAAATAGCGGTGTGGCGACAGAGGAGCTTCCCAGGCCAGCAGCTCTTCTTCGGAAACCATGGCGAAAGTTTGATCCAAGTCGTCATCCATGAAATCTTCGACGTTGTTTTCGTCGTCAGACAAAGTCTCAACTGCTGTCGCGGCGAAAACAGCCTCCGTATAGCCAAACGATCCTTGGGGCACTGCGCGACGTCTTTGGCGAACAGGAGGCGGCACAGTAGTTTTCGAGTTTGCCAGCCCCCAAAGTTTGCGCGCCACTTCTCCGACATCACTGTCTAAAAGGTCTCGGCTCCGCGACGATAGCTCGTCTGAGTCACTAGGTGCTATGATTTCCGTGGAGCCGGTATGAATTCGCTGCGCATCGACGAGTGTCGAGGTCAGAATCGGTAGGAGGCGTGATTGAACAGCGATTGCCTGAGACTGTCAGTATGTCCGTGGGCAATACGTAGTTCGGATAGGACACCATACTGATAAGTGCTTGGTGTTCAGCACCTGTGGCATGAGAAGGCTGAGGGAAGGCGATGCCATCTTCGTAATCGTTCTGAAACCAGCCATGGCTTTTGGTCCAGATATCAAGGTGAATAGGCTGGCTTCTACAAGACCTTGAATGGCGTCCAAGTACCGCGTCATTTCACCCTGGCCATCCGCGCCATCGAAGTGAAGGTTCTCAGCAGCCGGTGCCGCAGGAGCGAGTACTGGCTCGTCATCATGATCTTCGCATGCAATGGCTGAAATGGAAGCCCCTTCAAGGGCTTCAAGGCCAATGCCCGAATCTTGCGTTTCTGGGAGATCTTCTGTGTCGTGCAGGGACTCCTACTTCGCTGACAGCACTTCAGATTCCTGGAAGCTGTGACGAGTAAGAGTCGAATTCAAAGCAGCTCTCGTGGATGGCGGTGGGCCTTTGACACCCTCGGTTTCATTTGCTGCGTCGTGCGTCTGATGGAAAGAGAATGTGCAGGTAAGATGTTGCAGTACGAAAATTGACGTGCCTGGGGGTCCAACATTCTGAGACACATCGCTCTGATATTCCATCTTGAATGTAGGCGATTGCGAGGCTTGAAGTTGTTGGACTTCTCGAATCAGCCGAATCCCCAGCTGGTCCCAAATCCAAGGAAGTGTTAGTCGACATTCAAAAATGGCTGGGGGTGTACTTACAGAGCAGGCTTGAATGAAGCAGGCCACATCATTCACGAGACGTTTGGGCGAAGATGTGTCCTCAATAGGCTCTTCCTCGAGTATTGACACATGGAGTCGGCATATTGGCGCTTTCGACAAGTTGATTCTTCCATCCTCCAGAACGGCGAGAAGCTCGTCAGGGTCCGACACGGCAAAGTCTTCGAACAAGGAGCGCAATGAGAAGTTGGATGCCACGGTGACGCTTAAGGATGTTTTGGTATGGCGGAGGGCAAAGGGATCAAGTTGTATAACTGAGGAAACCATGTTTGAAATATAAACGAAAGGTAGGCATCGTCAAACGAACGGTATTCAACTTGTCGATACGGCAAGCATGAAGCCAGTAAGCAGGGTGCAGCGGGTATGCTGCCCCGGACTGTCAACGCCACAAGTTGTGCGGGGATAGTGCGAGCGAACCCCACTCTGCACGGTGGATGGACGTCCCACCTCGTTGTTATACGTGGAAGACAAGCAGTTTGAGAAACCGCCAGTTCTTTCTGTGTCTCGCGGCTGTATTTCCTGTGTTTGCTAAGTTACTTCCATAGAGAACGATAGTAGTAGATGACGAGCATACTGATAATAATAACGATAAAGGCGATAACGAGGGCGAGGGCGACAGCAAAACAGGGTACATGCCAGCCTACAGAACAAGCAGTCGCTCTGGCACAAGAGAAATAGACGTCTCCGGATTGAGGATACGGAGACTTTTTCATGCCCACGATATCAGACTCTCACAGTCCGTCGCCTTTCAGATCACTTTACAGTACATCACACAGGTAAGGCAGGCCGCGGAAAATGCAACCGTGACACAGCACATGTCGAGGATCGACTGAAGTGCACAGTGTGTGAGATGTAGGGAACTCAGTTCGCATTTTCAACGGGAAAACAATGGGCCACACGCTTGGGCGACAGCGGTATGCGCTTGCTCTAGCGCATCTTATCTTGGGGGTCCTCGGACTTGTTCAACTTCCATGGCGGGCAGCTAACACCTTTACGTGATCCGCATACTGATAGACTGTTGTAGTGGAGCAGAAATTCATAGGCCGGGCAACTTGGCCCACATTGCGGCTAATGCACCCAGTGTGTCAGGCTCGGCATGTTGCACCCGTTTTTCCTCGGCGAGCACGACAGAAGCTGGGCAACTGGACTGCCAAAAGTCTGAATGACGCAGGCACCGCTTCACACTTCCGACGTCTTCCTGGGGCCTGCCTTACTCACTGCGGATCAAATTCTGTCACTTACCAAGGAAACGCTGACGACACTCGACAAGGCCTACCCGCTGTGTACTTGTGTGCTACTGTGCATACATCCACATTTCGACGACCTCCTCCAGCTCGGCTTGAATCCATTGCGCACCATCACCGCTAGTTCCACGGGTTGCTATCTCATGAGGCAACAAACACACGACCACCGCCACCAATCAACAAACGCCGTCAACCAACTGCCTCCAAAGTAACGAGAAAGTACCCGGTCACGCAAGAAAACTGAGCAGCACCTAGCCTGGCTATCTTGGCCGCTGTCACCGGACGACTCCGAGCTCCTCTATCTCCCAAGGAAAGGACCAGGATCTGCGGTCGCGGTCCTGCACTACGAGTCGGCATCTGACAACATCCATCCACCCACACACGTCTCATCCACGGCCCGGCCTAATCGTCACCCCTCCCGCCGTCCCCCCGTCCTCCTCCACCACCACCACCTCTTTTTTCCGGTCCAAAGCGCGGTGCGCGGAGTTGCGTCTCGAACGCCCGCCCAGTTAAGAGCATGCCTCTTTTCGATCTTGGTTCTCTTTTCCTCGACCACGTCGTTTTCATCACCAACTTGGTTTACATCAACATTGCCCTGACCAATGCCGAGCCCAGCATACTCTTTCCTCTCTATGTTGTGTCGAAACTGTTGGCCCGAGGACCTGACGATTGGGATTCCCCTACTGCGAAATGGCCGCCGCCAGTCCCCACGTGGTAGCCGATTGCGGCTACCAAACTCCAGATGAGCTCAATCGTTCTGCCTATTTCTCTGCTGCTCCTGAAGGCGCCTCAGCTTCTGCTCCTGCCCTGAGTTCGCCTGTGAGGCGCCCGGCATTTGTTCCGCATCCTTCGTATGGTCCTGTTCTGCCGTCCAACTCTAGTCCAGCCGCCTCCGATCATCAGCCGCATTCAAATGGTCATACTGCCGACAATTTGGATTCGCGCATGGAGAAGGACTCTAGTAAAAGGTCACCTAATGGTCGGGTTGGTCTTCGCGATAGGATCGTCTGTCATACGTGGACATGGTTCACCATGGTATTGCACATCTTGGCCTTTCTCTTCACATTTCTAGACTGACTGATAGTAGACGATGGTATGACACACCCACTTCTTGATGCTCGCTATCTGGCACTCACCATGACACAGGCAACTGGGGGAATGGCAAATGTAATACATTCCCGTAAGTTAACCAATCCCGAGCATGGAATGCGAAACTTCAAACTCACACCTAGACAGTCCCGTACCAAGCTGCGTGGCTAAATGGCATAGCCATAGCCTTCTTCTTACTGAATGTTCTTCTTTTCGTCATGAACTGTGTTTTGGCAACACTGCGCTTTCACTGGCGCCCAGGGACCTTGGTTCATACCTTCACCGACCAGACAGAATCACTGTTCATACCGGCATCCGTAAGTCGAGACTATCTTGGGTCCTATAGTCACTTACATTCTGCCTCTAGGTTGTTTCGTAAGTACTATCTAGCGCCCGCCCATCAGGACAAACTCTGAACGTGACAGGTTTGCCATCATATGCATCAACATTTGCCAGTTTGGTGTTCCGTATGTTGGGCCATGGCTCCTGAGGATTATGCAAATCCTATTCTGGTCGTATACAGCGATGAGTATGCTGGCTAGCGCCATCATATACATGGTTCTATGGTCTACATTGTAAGACTTCACTAAGCTGAGAAATCTCATAACCTGCTGATGGTCTTGAAGAGCCTTCCCCATCCACACTATGACGCCAACCTGGGTCTTCCCAGCCTATCCTCTACTTCTCACTGCGCCCTTCGCCTCAAACCTCATCATGGCCGCATCCCAGACGAATCAGAAACAGGTCGTCTTGAACAGAACGGCGATTGCGCTCTCTGCTCTGGCCACACAAGGTGCAGGATGCTTGATCGCCTTCATGATCTCAGCCGCCTTTATCTATCGATTAATGACACAGAAGCTGCCACGCGACTTTCAGCGGCCTGGTGTGGTACGTTGGTTGTACTGCCGTCTGCTCGAGAAGAAAGTACTCATCAGCTATTAGTTCATCTCCATCGGGCCATTTGCATTCACGGTTGCCGGCATAGGTAAGATTGGCTATTGTAAACATTCATGATGATTTGCTGACCTCCATAGTTCTGCTGGGAAGCCAAGCCGACCAGATCTTGCCTCAAGGATTCTTAGGCACCGACCTAGCCGTGCCAATTATCAAGGTGCTCTCTGTTATGATCGGAGTGTGGCTCTGGGGTCTCTCGGTGTGGTTCTTTGTCGTCTCCGTCGGGTCGTTATGGAAGTTTGTGCGGCCAGCAAAGAAGATGCCTTTCCAGATGACGTGGTGGTCGTTTGTGTTTCCCAACACTGCGCTCATAACTGCCACTGCAGCCCTTGGAAAAGTGTTCCAGAACTCTGGACTTCAGATTTTTGCGTGTGTCATGGCTGCAGGATTGATTGTGGTATGGGTTGTGGTGTTTGTGACCATGGTTCGATGTCTGTACAAAAGGGAGCTGCTTTGGCCGAAAGATACCCAATGATGGTCAAGCCTAGGCTGATTTTCCGTCTAAGTAATTCCAAAATGAACACCAAACATGATACCAGGCGGATGCGGTGCCGGATAGTTGATCGAAAAGCCAATTCCGCCAATTCCATGATATTAGCCGTTGGAAACGCCTTCCAGGCACTGCTCCCCCCCTGTCACGCCCACAGTGCGGTGTTCGCTAAAGGGAGACCGGTAGCGGGATGTGAGTGGGGCCAGGTGTCCTGCTCCCAACCTACCAACCTCTCACTCACCAACTCAGGCACGGCCTCATCGCTGATGTCAAGTGTCCTCATTGGGAATCTGCGAAAACATTCTCACATGGCGTCATATCGAACTTACTGGATTAAGGAGTGATACTCATACTCTGGCCATAATGTCGTGGGACTCCAAGTCGGCGTTGCGCCGACGCCAAAGCAGCAACGCAACCTCAGCCAAGAACATCATCCACACACGCCAGCAGTCCAAGTCGACCATTGAGCCGAAATCGAGCCATGTAGCCGACGACTTCTTGCAAGACTTTTTGGATCCCTCTTTCGATCCTGCAGCCTACCTCAACGCGTCGATGCCGCCGTTACAGCCCAGCGGTCACCATGCCTCACGAAATGGAGGCCAGACTGTTCCTTTGGCCGACCTCTCCAACGAGACGCAGACGCTGCTATCCCAGCTTAATGTCCACACGACCAGACTCTCAGGAACCCTCACACAGCTGACTGACGATATTCTGAGAAGTGGCAGTCGACTTGCATATGAGGTGGAACTCTTGCGAGGAGAGACGTTGAGTCTTGCCGAGACGATGAACGACACGTTACAAGACGACATCAAAAAGTTTGTCCCCGGTGGTCTCGATGAAGCCACGAAGGACGCTCCTCCTAAGACGACGGACCTGGAGGAAAGGAAGGCTTCAGTCGGCGCGACCAAGGCAGAAGAAGCCACCTCAGCGACGGTATCGACCGAGGATGAGGGCGCAGTTGAGGAGCCACCGTACATCAAGCAGCTGCGCACCCTGACTGTCGTGCGGTCTCGCCTGGACTCTGTAATCAAGACGTTTGGCGATGCCATGGACTTTGTATTTCCGCCTTCAGAACTCTCAGTCAGCTCATCCTTCCTCTCCGTGTCAGCGCCAGAGCCCGGCTCCGATCAGCACAGCACGGAGGACAAGGGCCAGCAGGTACTCCAGAAGCTGCGGGACGAGATATCACAATTCCTGCACAAATCAGAGGACCCCGTTCAGGGAATCGAGAAGGCGGCGCAGCGAATCGAGGAGCTTAAGGACCTCAACCAAGTGTGGAAGGGCACGGCGGAGGAGAAGGGACGGACAAAGTTCATTGAGAGTCTGGCCAAGATGGTCGAGGACCGGCACCGCGATCTGATGAAGGAGGTGGACCAGGCGAGTCGGAACCAAGGCAACGGGAATGAGGGGAGAGCGCGCAAGGGGAGCGTTCATGCCGACCCCGCGGAAACGAAGACATATCTTGGTGGCTATGGCTTGATGAGCCAGCTGCAGAAGCTGAGAAGCGGACTGTAGGCTGTCATTATGAGATCACGCATCGAGTATCTGGAAATCCCAGACGTCCCAAATATGGTTAATACAATGTTGCTGCTTGTTGCTCATTATCGCGTACCCCATGCGGTCCTGAATTTCGGATCTGGTCTGTCGCTGTCTTCTGTCCAGGACCCTGTCGTACGGTGCGCAAGCCGCGATACACAGGGACAATGCGCTGGAAATTGACGTGGCACAGTGCTGCCGTTTTTTCGTCCCTTCTTGGTTCTGTCACTGGGCCTGGTCAAAGCGAAAGTCGTCGGCGGGCCACGGAGCCAATGAAAAATCTCAGTCCGCCAGCGGTCAGGTACAGAGCACCCTTGCAGCTACTAACTGAGAAGGCTGACAAGGTCGCCTGGCACAGGACCATTCTTTCGCGGTGCCCTCACCTTTCTCCTGCGGCCCAGCTTCCCACACAAACACCGCAGCGATTTGCCTTACGAATGGGCATTTGGTTAGGTTCCTCCTTTTCTGAGAGATGTGATTGAGAGATATATTCTCTTGTCCATACCTCGTCGACGTCAATCTATATACATCTTTGTCTTCTTTTCTCTCTGCCGCACCCGTCGCCCGAGCTACGGCTTGCGACGGCCGGCTTCACACCACCCGCCCGGTTCCGCTGACCAAAACCTCAATCTTCCTCCACGCTCAACCCGATCTATAACACTCGAAGCCAGCGATTCAAGTACGATCTTCGATTATTCAGTACCATGGCTACCAACGACGCAGCTCCTCCCAACCTTGGGGGCGCTTCGGGCCACCAGAAAACCGGTCGAGCGTCGCCCGCACCCGCAGCTCAATCGAAGCGCGACCGCAAGCGCCAGGTTCTGGCCGACAAGATCAACAGTCTCCAAGAGAAATTCAACCGGGATCGTGAAGTCGGATACCGTGACCAGCTCCAGAAAGTTCAGGTTGACACCAACTTGGTTCAGCGTATCGATCCCTACTCTGAAGACGTCCTCAGCGTCATCGCCAGCCTGCGCCAGGAGCATGACGAGACCCAGGGACAAGAGCCGCTGGCCGATTCCAGCCGGACCCTCCTCCAGATGGCAGGTCCCAAATTCGAGGACTTTGTCCAGGGTATCGAGGATCTCATTGAGTACCGAGACTTTCACTTACTCCAGCACATGGTGAGTGCGACCAACTTTTCCAAAGGTCGGCTAAACTGACAATTGCAACAACAGCACGAACACGAGCGCCGCCTCCACCAATACAAGAATGAATACCTCTACAAGGTCGAAACCGCAAAGCGCGAGCACAGCGCCCTCTCTGCTACGCTCCGCGATCGTCTCGTCAACACTCTGCTCTCGAGGAAAATCCGCCTTAATAAGGAGAAGGAAGCTCTGGAAATCTCCGACTCGTCCGCCTTGCTGCTCCACCCCAATCAGTTCAGCATTACCAACCCCGCCAGTCCTGGCGGCACACATGGGAAGCGAGCAACAAGGTTGCGCAAGGACGCCGAGGAGTTTCCGGGCTATTCGGATAACAAGAAGCGCAAGAGGAACCCCGGCGAGGACGACGGCTCTCCTGTCCCCTCCAGGCGGGCGCTCGACCCTAACAGCACGACACCCCTCTGGCAGAACGAGAAGCTTCGCGTCGCAGCGAAGCAGAACGGTCCCGCCTACAGTATTGATAAGCTTTTCACCGAGAAGGAGCTCACGATGGCGTACAACGCGGCAGCGATTGCCGCCCACAAGCACATTCTGAGGCACAAGGCCTACGCGAACGGTGGCTCGTCTCCCGGTAGCGATTCCGGTCACGGCGAGGATGGCGACCAGGATAGCGAGGCTTGGCCTGCAGCGCCCATGATGGAACGCACCAGCTCTCACGCGACTAGAAGTACCAGGGCTGGCATCAATCAGAATCTGATTGACGCCGTTGAGGGTGCCAATGGATTGGAGTTGCCCAAGTACCTCGAAATCATGCATCCGCATGAACCCGCCAAGCTGCCGTCATCATCCATGACCAACTACTTCAAGCCTGTCAGGGGAAACACCGATGCCAACCTCCCGCAGTCGCTGTCACAGGATGAGATCAGCTCTGACATCATGGTCATGGACCTGTTCAAAAAGTACGATGCTAGCCATAAGCCCGGCGATTCCATCGACCATCCCAATGGCAGCAGGAGGCTGCTTGAAGCTTCCATTGCTCCTTACACCAAGACGCCTTGGTCAGGCTTCAAGCCTGGTCCTCGACCGGACCCGACGAACCTTAGAGAGGATCTCCAACCGATCGAGAGCAGCGTGAGAGACGAAGCTCCCCCGCCCATGTCATCTCTTGCAGCCGTCGCTGCGGTACCGATGAGCCGCAACAGTAGCGCGGCTGGTGGTGCGGCCATGAGCCGGCAAGGCAGCTCCCGCGGAAAGGGCCGCAAGAACCAGTCATGAACATGCTGATGATTTTACGGTGTCTCGGAGTTCGGAAAAGGGTTGGGATTCGGTATTTGAACATTGATGGTTTCAGCAAGGCCAGCATCTGGGCGATACGTGGACAACACGTCCCCTTTCCCGCGGTTAGACTCCGCGTATAGAGCGACTTTGCATTTTCATTTTTCGAGACCTACGATTAAGGACTGTACGTTGTGGAAGCATACGGCTCCAGGACACAGGGTGGCATATGACACGAGAGCTTGTGATTACGAGGGGACGCGTCTCCATCTGATATTAAGACAGCTCGCATGCATTGATACCCTAATGCTCTTGATTTAACATGTTATCGTGAAGTCATTATCTAGTCTCTACTCTTTTCCCACTCAAGGCCCGAACACTAGCGCGCGAACTTCGATGCTCTCGCGGCCTTCAGCATCAGGTCTTGTCCTAGGGTCAACGAAAGCAGTATGAGCCAGTCTTCCCCCCTGAACCCCGGTCCCATCCCGAAGTCCCTCACTGTCGAAGCACTCGAGAAGCAGCCGCTCGTCTCCGGTCATGCCGCTCAGGTAGTACCACTTCTGGCTGGGGCTGAACTTGATCCCCGCGGTCTGGCCGGTGTACCCGTTGGAGTACCGATGCTCGATGGGGACGATGTCCGCATCGTCCAGCGTCGACGAGGAAGCGAAACCCAGCGGAAACGACTCGACGGGATTCTTGTTGAGCGGCCTCCAGACGTTGATGATCCGGTACCGGCCCGCCAGAAGCTTGTCCGCCTCCTCGGGGAGGTGCTTCTTCACGCGCTGGATGACGGAGACGGGCGTCTGGTCGATGTGCACGCGGGTGACGGGGTTCCTGTTCGCCTTGGGATCTGCGCGGCGGATGGTGTGGTCGAAGAAGAGGACCCGGTTGGAGCCCGGAACGTGCTCCAGAAGAAGCTTATCGAGCTCCGGGTAGTAATTCTGCTTAATGGACTCGTCGTCTACGAAATCCTTCTCGGCGGACGGGGGCTGGTTGCGGATGACGGCGAAGGCGTCCTGGTCGAGGTTGAATTCGGCCTCGCGGCCGCGGATGTCGTGCAGAAGGGCCTCCTGGACGTCGTCTGAGTAGTTGCGTCCCGGGAGGCCTTCGGGGACGATGGTGTTGTAGGGGGCGGAACCGTCTTCGGGAGGGGCGAAGAAGTTTAGGGTTGCGCGGACATCACCGCGGGGGATGGTGTCGATGGCCATTGTGTTTATGCTGAGAGGGGTTATGAGATACAAAGTCGGATAAGTTGGTCCGAGAACCAGGGGACGTCTGGTGAAGTCGAAAATGAGGCTGACGATGTTTTGAGTTTGAGACTTATACCGAGGTGTGCCGTGGCAAAAGTCAGGTGTAAGGGTTCACAATGAGATGCGGATGATGATGTTTCAATGGAGTCTGGTGTTTCCGAAGTCTTCGGGATACATGGGATTCACTATTTCTTTATACCTGTAGACATCAATGGTGTATTTCAAAGCAAGACGGAAAATGAAGCCATTCGAACCGCACAATGGCCATTGCTTGTGAGAGAGCAATCACGTCATTTGGGCTGATTGGACGGGCAAGGAGCAGCGCAGAGGATGGGGATTAGTCAAGCCCGGCCTCGAAAGGCGCAGAGTGGAGGATGCACGCGGAGATGGGCTTCTTGGCCGGCGGATTAGTCAAGGTGGCTTACGGCAGCGACTTTGAATTAAGCCGGGAGACGTGGCATTGGCTGGGTCCTTTGGAGCTGCAAGTCATGTAAGTGCGGGTTTCTATGCACAATGAATTTCGACTTGACACTTAGATTTGACGTCCATCAAAGCCCTGCGAGTCCGACGGGAAGGATTGCATCTTGCTGTCCGTCTCCGTCCCCTGACTACCTCCCCACCTTAGATGCTGGCAGCTGCTGGGACTTGGGCATCGTCGCGCATCGTTCAACCCAACATTTTGCGTCATTCTTCGGAGCATCTGACCGGACAAGTTAGGTTCGTGCAAGTCGAGGAGCTTTGATGCCCTCTTGGGGTGATAGAGTTCAATCTCTGGCAGCTACCGGTGCACGATCCCAAACGGCGAGATCAGATCGCGATAACGATAAATGCCGGTACAAACCCAAAGCATTCCCCGAAACTGGGGCTGCCGGGAATAAGCAGCGTGAAGGGTGGCTTTTACATAAGCAAATGCGATCTGGGGAAGCCGGTCGATGATGACATTCCACCGTGTAAAAGAAACAGTGCTATCGATAGTGGTCACTGGCTGCAACCCTTCACTCCAAGAGGGTGCAGCCGCTTTCCCACCCGACTCACCCACTTTTCCCACCTGAGGGTGCTGCCCACTGCGTGTGTTGCAGTGTTCCACTGCCCAAGCATCGGCACTTTTCTGATCTTCTTCAGCGTCTGAGTGGTCTCTGACGGGTGGTGGGGCTCAGCCGGCGCACTGCTTGCAGCGAACCAAGAGGAGCCCGCCCCCAAAAGCCTCCCAATCAGTGGCGACGGCTGAATGAAAGGGAGCCCAGGGGCCGGTTCTGCCCCCTTTCAGCAGCAGTGAATAAAGGCTAATTTTAGTAGTGCGGACCTTCTCCCGGCGTGCCTCCTCGCAAGGGCCCTAAATGAACTCCGA